TTTGTCGTACTGTCACCCCTGTATTTACGGGAGGTCTTTCTGAAATACCCTGTATAATTCTGTTGTAGGAACAGTTATAAATTCCATTTGCATATAGGCCACTGGAAAAAGTAATCCTAAAGTAAAATGCAAAAGTAGTAAGATCTTATCTATCCTGTTAGTTTTCGACTGTTATTAATTTAATTTTGTAACACAAAATGAAAAGAAATGTTTCGAAACTATTAATAAATAACCTCTGGTAATAAATAAAACTTGAAATATGTGCTAAATAAAAATTTTTCGACGTTTAGTACTTTTGTTAGTGCAGTTTGGTCAAAATTTGTACAGCGTGTTATCTAGAAATACAAAATTTCATTAGTTCCTATTAAACCTGAAATTACACGAAATTCAGTCACTGCCTTTTAATGGTATTTGTGTAACTATTGAAAATGTTTCACATAAGAAACTTGTTAAAAATTATGCAGCGTGATTCTTATAAACAACAGTGAAAATATCTAACAAGCATTTGGCTTAGAGGATATATTTTGTTATGGGATCAAAATTTCTTTGCATCACAACGCCATCTATAACATGAAAATAAATACTTTTAAACTAAGTTGATTCGCTTACGCATAGCTATTTTTTATGCAGAATCTTTAAAGGTCATTATTTAATTTAAAATAATATACAAATTGTTCCAAAAAATACATTTCACGCAATAATCAGTAATGTTTATCAAAAAAAATTTTATTTGTAACGTCATGGGGATGAAAAAATTTATATAGGGTTCTTTTAAATTAAATTGTGTGGCTAGCAAATATGGAATGAGGTTGAGAAATCTTATAAAATCAATAAGGATTAAAATTAAACTAATACGGTATTAAAATAGGACAAATTTATGTCTGCATTTCCATTAAAACTTTAGTAATATCCTGTCGACTCATTAGAAAAATTTTACAAGTATATCCAGGGTCACCATTCTCTATTGGCCTATTAATCATTTCATACTTTAACTTAGTTCACACGTATGTACATGCACCTGTGATTTATTGCGAAACAGGTAGTATTTATTTCACCTTAGTCTTATACATTTTTCTATTGTCGATACTTATATTAATATATCTGTCAAAACTTGAAGAAAGATCCGTAAAAATCACCAAACAAGTTAATTAGTTTATAAATTAATAGGTATGTAGATTTTCTAAGTTTCTTGTTTTTTTTTAGTAATTTTTAATATTTAATCAACGAGTAGCTTACACATTAGGTTAGTCTAGCATAAATTGGAAGTTTATTATGGTTTGCAGTTATCATGACATTTTTTTTTTCTAAGTTCGTAACTTGAGTTCAATCAGCAAATTAGGCAACTTTTTGTAACGCGGAAAAGGTGCCACAAATTAGCAAATCGTGATAATTTCTTGATTAATATAGGCCGACAAAATATGAACGACCTTCTGAACCAGAAAGGTTTTCTTCGAGGCTGTGTGGTTCAGTTGCAGTCTGACGTCTGCTTTTTATGTTTGGAAATTCGATCTTCAATGCTAGGAGGTTATAGCGTCTACGGTAATTGTTACGCATGCAAATTCGATCGCCAAGATGTTATCGATTTTGTGTAGTATTTCAAAAAAATGTTTTAATTTTCAAATCACAACACCTTTTATTTTTCCATTCATTTTAAATCCACCATTTTTTTGAAATTTGTAGTTCTGAGTTCAGATTCGTAATCAGCGACCCCGAAAACCAGTGGGAACTATTTGTAATTATTAGAATATCTACGATTATACCTACGAATACGATGAACTAATCAATTTGAACAGACGATTTCTCAAAAAAGAAGACAATTTCTTGAGGGGAAGCGTAGTATTTTCAGATGCTATAACGAGTAAATACAAATGCCTAGAATGCCTAATTGAAATAAGAAAATGCCATAATGTTCTAAATATTTTAGTTCTTCGCACTTTTATGTTATGTTACAGCGTGGTTTCTGGTTTAACACTTTATCGGCTTATGTAATTTATTGGGTAAAGTAAGTGCAATTTTTGTAAGGTTATATTATCTGATATATATCTAAATATAGATGTAAAAACAAATAATACTATTTCTTAAGGAGCAGGCACCTTTGATGAATTTGAAAAATTAAAGTATCTATTTTCATTATTTATAAATCAACTAGTTGTAGTTGATAAAAACATAATTGAACACATTTATTTATTTATTACTTATTACACCAAGATAATGAATAACAAAAACCACTTAAGCCTTTATCGTTACTAGGTAGCAAGGCGTACTTACTTAAAGATACATAATTATGACATTTTATGAAATATGGCACCCAAACATAAATAATTTTCATTATCTTGTCAGGGTTAATCCACTTATTTTGAGAAAGCAAATGTTTGTCGAAATATTTCAAAGTTAAAAGAACAGGTGAAAGTTTATATTTGGTGGAAGAATCATAAGAATTATTGGACCCCGATAACAGTAATTATTATCGTTAATAAAAAAATTCATCATACCTATGACTAATATATGTTTTTTTCCATACTGATTACATTTCTTACTCATACCTGTTCCCTTTTTTGAACTATTTAATTTTTTCATAGGTTCATTATATTTTTGTTTAATTAGTAGAAAATTTCCGTCAATATTCTTCCAATGAACAATCACTAGGGAAAAAAGTAATAAAATTCCATCTTATATACAGGTTTGCATTCAAAAATAGGAACCAAAACAGTTCATGGCCAAAAACAGAAAATTACCTGTACGTCAATACAGACTTTTGAACTCTATGATGGTTAATTTAATTATATTTTAAGAGAATCATGACTTGTGACCTCCAAACAAGATGATGTGGAATGATGTTACTGCAGCACGAGACAACTTAAATATATACACAACATTGTTTGCAAATATTCAGAATATATTAATAATGTACACATTTTGTGTAGTTATCCGGTAACAAGTAACAACAATATCTTACTGAAGAGAAGATAGATTTAAACAAAAACGTATATATGATATAAAGTGCATAACACGTAGATAATTTAATTATTGTCAATGTACATATTAAGTATTTTCCACTTTAATATGAAATACATGTTTAATGCTATTTAATTTACTAGAATTTTTTTGTTTAATAGATTTTTTTCTATTTTAATTAAATTAAGATTGAAATTAATTTCAGGAATTAGTTGCAGCAAAATATACGCCCACAACTTTATTATAATTTCAGCCACCATATATTTTTAACAATTTACGATATCCCTATAGCCTCCCAAACCTATAATTACTTGTACATGAGGGTAGGGAATATTCTGACCCTAAAACCTCCCCCTTGCGTACGCCACTGGTCGTATCTATATTAAAATAACCAATAAACCAATAACCAATAAATAACATAATAAAACTTGACCTTTGATTAATTCTACAACCTGCTACCGCTCTTATTAAAAAAACGGAATTTAAACCCGTACACCTTTAGAAACGCCGCGTTTGAAAAAATTATATTAATACTACTCGTATCACCGATATAGATAACAATTGGTACTAGTAGAGTGTCTAAATGTGGCCATTGTTATTGTAGATACTTTCAATGCAACTGCTCTAAGACTGAACTGTGATATTAGAGATTAAGATGTTCTTCACGATATTCATCAGTGTCATAGTGACGTTGTGGATCTTATTTTGTGTGGCTTTGTTTACTTTTCATTACGTTATTGAGGTTGTTCTAGGTAAGTTAATCTGGTTTCCTGATAAATCACAAGTCATATGTAAGCGTAAAATAATAGTTTGTGTATATTTCGTATGTTCTTTTTTATAATTATTTAAAGACGTATTGTTTTTGAAATATTTTTTTTCTACTATTTAAAGAAGAAAAAAGCACTAAATACACAACAAATGTTGTAGAAAAAATTGCACATAAACACAAAATTTAAAAAATCGGTCATGTTAGTTATATTAACCTTTCTCCTTCTTTTTTAACACCTACATTTTTCTTCTTTAAGTACCTGTGATATTTTATTCACTTTCATAAGCCCCCAAATTTTTTTGTTACTTGCCAATTTCCGAAGAGGTATTCCATTTTTTTAAAATGTATCTGCTGTAACTTAAACTAAATATAATGTAGGAAAAAATCTTATCATGTTCATCTTCTGATAACAGATAAATATAATAAAATAAATAATTAGGTAAGCAAGGACTAAACAGTACCTTTGTTAATTGTAATGTTCTACGAAAAATGTTTCAAACTAATGCAAGAAATATTTATTATACAGAGTGTTTACTAAAGAATGGGCCGTACTTTAAGGTTAGCTTCCTTGGAAAATAAGGTGATTTAAACAACTTGCTTCCTTAAGAAGTTATAGGCCCGAGAAAGTAGTTTTTTATTCCACATTTTTACGATAATTAATTTATCATTTTTTACGTTATTTTCTCTAAAACGGTGCATTTTGGCGACATGCAACAAGGATGCATTTTTTAAAGGAAGTCGAATGCTGTTTTAAAATAACCAATCATTTTCCAAAAATATCGATCCTTAAACAAAATCTGAAGGAAACAATGTAGTGGCAACGCCGTTCAGACCGTCCCGTATATTTATCGCAAAAAACAGGCTAGTATTCGTGTTTGTAAAACAAACAAATTTTAGAACTTTTATACAATTTGAATAAAATTACCCAAATAATAAATTATCGTACAAAAATGAAATTAAAAAACTACTTTTTCGAGCGTATAACTTCTTAAAAATGGTACTAAGGCAAATTGATTTAAATCACCTTATTTTCATCCAAGGAAGCTAACCTTAAAGTATGGCTTATTCTTTAGTATATCTTCTTCGGTGTAATTTTTGTTAATAAATGAATAATCAAATTTTTATCTGCATTGAAATTGTTAGTCCTGAATAATTCTGCAACTCAGGAGGAACAAATCTTTTCCAGGTGTATTTCTTTGTCGGATCAAAAAACACAAACGAATCAAAGTGGCCTCTGGACGCTGTTTTTTATGAGAGCTACTTTCGCTTGTTTCAGATTTACCAATCACTGGCCAGTCTCCCTGTACGGCGCACGCGGCATTAAAACAACTAATCGAAAGGCTCCTGAGGGAGGCAGTGAACCTTCCCAGCCTACAAAAAGCTCAAGAACAGCCCGTCGTTCCTCCCGACGAAAGCAACAGGACTTACGAGGACCTCCTAGCAACTGCCATATTAAACAAGGTACTACTGTGTTGATAAAGTAATACATACAGGGTGTTGTATGGGCTTGGAGATTTATTTATTAATGGAAGATAAGTCTTGAGAAATAGGCCTACTGATAAACTAAAAACATAATCAAAAGTAATAAATAAAAATTTAAAATGATGCATCTAAATGTAATCCTTCCAAGAAATATCTTTTATTTTAACATCCCACACGTCAATGTAATCATGATAGAGAGATTTCAGCTATTCCTGCATTTTGAGGATTGCTTTAAAAAAAATTGTTAGACAGATTTTTTTTGTATCAAAGAACATTGATAAGTTTTTTAAGAACGCTTTTTGAGTTTATTTGTAACAATTGAAATGCTAAAAAGTCTGCAACCACCTCTTTTCACATCCTGTAAACTCGCCATCTTTATAATAAATAATAAAAACGAAGCCAGAAAGTATTATAAAATAGAACATAATACACATTTACCCAATTACTTGCAGCAAATATATGGCTTTACTGAATGCAATAAAAATCTAGAAATCAATAAGCAAATTAGTCTCTTCCAACAATATGGCTATCGTGTCAGTCGCAGTTAAGAAAGCCAAGCAAAAAAATAAAGTATGCAACATTTCGATACATTTTTTTAAGATAATCTTTGTTTAGAAATTATAAACAAATATATCCAGTGACATCAGTTTTGCGATATTACAATAAGGTCTAGTGATCATTCTCAAGTACGATTTGTCTTTAGTGTGAAAGTTATTCTTATTGTGATCAACCCAATCCTACGAATTTTCGTCCTTTCAGGTATTAACTAGCTGCCAAAACAATTTGCCATCCTCCTCGGCAGCGAGCGTCTCAAGTAGGATATCGAACTCGTCGCGCAACAGAGACGAAAAGGAGTACTTCTTTGGGGAAGAGACCATAGACAACAAATGGAAAACGACGGATTTAGATAGCTCGTCGTTATCCAGCTTGGATGAATGGTTGCAGAGCGACTCGAGCTTTGGTTCCAAGAAATACGTGGATCGAGTAACTCTTACGGTAATTACTTCAATTGCATTGTCAAAACTACAAGCCTTTATGAACAGTGTACTGTTAATTTTACGTATGGCATTTGTTTCAGATAAAGCAAGATATTGAAGAAGTATCACAGACAGAGTCCGAAGATGAACGCGAGGTCGACGACAGTGAATATTTCCGAAATTCGTTACAGAACGAAGACGAATCGAACTGGTTCCTGCAGAAGAAGCAGTTCCAAGGCACCCACTCGCCGGTGCCAGTACCCATGTTGGTACCAAATCCCACCACTGAAGCAAAGGTAAGCGAGAATAAACTTTTCTGTGTGTTTCTTGAGGAACTTTATTTGTAAGTGTCATCTGGCAATGCCTTCAGAAGTACCAGAATCCTATCACACTGAACTTCCCATTTCAATTTAGCGCTCATTCCAATATTCTAACTACTTTCACTAATTTGTATAGCTTCACTGTGAATTTAGTTAATTTCTGGTGTTCCAGAAGTTTCACTTCTTCCAAGCATACCCATAGTTTAGTGCCTTTAGATTTGCCAATACCTTCAGAAACATTTGACTGACTGTAAAAACATAGATCCACCTTTCCCGAAGTCTTCATATTTTTTCTCTTGCAAAGAACAGTATTGCTACGTTTCCGCTTAAAAAACGGAGGTAAAATTACCAAATGACACTAGCTTCTGATATCACTGAGAATATCAAACTCAACTCAGTACTCTGCTTATTTTATTACCACCTCAAAATTTTCGTTACAATTAAATTTTATCGGAATCATACGTAGCGATTGTTGTAATAGATACATTTTTTTAAAACCAGGTGCTCATCGGCGACAAGGAAGTGGACGACACGTCCGACTTGTCGGACATAGCGTCCGATTATGGCGATCCGGATCCGATTCCGGGCAGGCAAAGCATCCTCGTCGAGTCGAAGATGATTATCGGCGGGAAAAATCCTCTGCAGAATGGAGGATCCGAAAGCGAGTCCTCTGCAGACTCTGGTGTCAAGGAAGTGGACAGCCAGGATAGAAGCGGCTATGATGGGCCTATATTCTCACCCAAGACGGATATCACGGTGGATGATGATAGTGAGTATTGTCAATTATTATAATTTTTATGAAATAAAGTTTAGAACGTTGTGGCGCAAGAAAAACAATCTGGCAGTTATGATCTTCAATGAAATATTGAAAAAGCAGTTATTTATAAAAATGTTTTGTATGTGCTCCTTTCTCTTGCAGATGTGGAAGATGCTTCCATACTTTCTGTGTACAGCAACACCGAAAAAGAAGCAGAGTACACAGAAAGGTATGGGTCATTGCCAAGAACGATTATCAAGACACCTACGCCACCCTCAAGGTAAAAAAATACTCTAGTTATTTAATAACAATGTTATTCTATTGTCTTTGTTTTGTTATAGGCCTTCTCTGCAAAAGCCCAAATTACCTGAAAGTACAAATGAAGTAGAACTTGTAAATAAAGAGGTTAGAGAACCGGAAGAAGTTGATAACGATGACGAAGATAAGAACGAAGAAGAGTTTCCAGGTAACAAAAACCGACTACTTGATTTTTATTTGATGTCTAAAAATATTGTTTTAGGGAGTTACAGTAAAAGAGAGAAAGAAAAGTGGAAATATGCCATAGAAATGAAGAATAATCCTTATTCCAAAGAGAACATTGAAAAGAGGATAAAGAGGTCAAACAGTGCTGCCAGTTCTTTGTAAGTAAATACAGATCTATATGCTCGTTGAGGTGAAATTCGGCGGAGACATTAAATTTTCCATCCTTGTGCGGCAAATCTATTTCCATACTATTATCTATTTTGAAAAACTGAATTGATCATTTTTTAATAATTAATAAAGTTACTATGCTTAATGATGCTAAGTGCTCCATGGTTTATGTGAAACTTATACCAAGAAAGAATATAAGGCAAAAGTCTAAAGAATTAAGCTTCTGTTAAATACAGGGTGTCCCATAATTAGTGTGCAATACTTTAGCAGTAGATTCTACGATCAAAAATAAGATTATTTTTTCATATAAACAAAGGCCGAAAAATGCTTCCTAAGGGAGCTACACCCCCCTAAAGGCGCCTTAGGAGATCATATTTTTCAAAATATTTCCAAAACCAGTTAACATATTATGAATTTTGGTATGTTGGACACTCAATGAATGTTCTAGCGAACTACACCAAAACTGTTTAAAAATTTTAGTCAGGGGTGTCTCAAGCAGGGGGGCACACGGGTAAAATGCGCCCCTAATTTTGTTAATATTTTCAAATTTAAACGTCAAACTATGATATATATGACTTTCTCATAAAAAAATGTATTCTTAATTTACTTCGATAAAATGCTTCGTTTTCGAGAAAAATCGATTTTAAAGTTTTATTACATAATCTCAAGAAAGGAAAAGGATTACATGAATAGGTAGGCAAGCCATGAAGACAAACATTTGTTTACTTGAATTAATTTGACAGATTATTAAACCCAATTTTTGCTTTCACTTGGTGCTATATTGGATTTTATCTAAAATCTAAAGAAAAAATGCAGTATTTTAATAATAATTTTAATAGATATTAATTTTGTGTATGGAATTTGTAATGCGGGAGCACTAGCGGCAATTGAAAATTTAATGATAATTCTAATATTTTCAAATGTAAATATCAAACTATGATAGAAATGGGTTTTTTACAAAAAAAAATGGACTCTAGATTTACTTCGATAAAATGCTTCGTTTTCGAAAAATATCTATTTAGATTTAGAAGTTATATCTCCTGTCCATTTTCTTCTTCCTTTCAAACTACAAATATATACAGGGTATAGCAGAAGTACCGGAACGGCAGAATAACTCGGGGGGAGAGCATTTTAGAGAAGAATGTTAAATATAAAAGTTTCAGGATTTCTCCCTGGCTATCCGATGGTGACCTTGACATTGACACTGACCTTGAAGGTCATTTCAAGGCCAAATGTGATTTTTCAAATAGGACTTTTGACCCCAGAAATGAAAAGAGCGGAAAATTTTACGTTCAGATATGACCTTGAGTGACCCCTCTGATTTGACCTTTGGGCCACCACAAGGTCAAACTAACGAAAGTACAGGAACGGCAGAATAACTCGGCGGGAGAGCATTTTAGTCCATACACCCGGCTTTTTGCAGCGAATAGCATCACGCAAACGACGCATAACACTCAAATAATATCCCTTGTTAACAGTTTCGCAGGTTGGTAGAAATTAATAGTGCGCTAAGCCACGATAATGAAAGAAAACTGTCAACATGACCTTGATTTTTGAGTGACTGGCGTGGTTTTTTCAGTGTTGGTTCACCTTTTGCACGATGTTCACTCGATTGATCGGCCGTTTCCGGGTTGTAAGCGTAGATCCAAATCTCGTCTCCATGCGTTTCATGACGTCTTGGTAGTCAGAAATCATTGTTTCACGGATGTCAACGCGAAGCTGTTTTTACAAAAAGTTGAGCGTTTTTGGAACCAAACAAGATTTGACGCATTTAAAGCACAACAAATCTTTTAAAATAGTATTTACAGAACTTTTTGAAATGGCAATAGAAACAACAAGGTCTCTAATTGTTAATCGACTGTTTTCGAGATGACGTTGATGGTCGTCCGGAACGCTGTTCATCCTTAACGCTTTATCTGCCTTCTTTAAAGTCTTTGTACCAATCGTAAACAATTTTTTGCGAAAAAACCTCATCATTAAAGACCTTCTGTAACATCTTCAACGTTTCCGCGGCTGAATAATCATTCCGCAAACAAAATTTAATGCAAATTCTTCTTCAAAATCGGCTATAGCGAAAATATTTCGTAGCTTTACAAAAACACGAGTAGCTCTGCGGCAATTCAATATATTGACCTGAAACTCTGCATAGCTATCAAGGACAGTCCTACCAACCTACAAAAAAATAATTAAATGCTTTCATAATACCCGCGAATTTTAACCAGATTGGAAAATCCTTAATTTTTTTATAAAAGGCGACCATATTGTCACGTTTAAAATCATCACTTGTTTGACATTTTCGCTGAAGCATTTCAATGGTTTTATTAAACACTAACTTGTTTTAGTTGTTTTGTAAAATGACACGCTGTTTTGATTAATGGGTCTACATTAAATTTAGATTATCAACAATTTCAACATAGTATTTTTATATTATATTTAATTATACCCTAATATAGATAAAACCAGATAAAATATGTTTTTCTAAATAAACAGAAAATACAACGTGTCCCACAATTATGGATGTATTGTTGAGTTATTCTCAAATTCTGCTTGGTATACCTTAGAATTCGAAATCCTAACTAATGCCCTGTAATAGCTGTTTTACATTGACAATTTATTGGTCAATTAATTCATGAAGTAGCTTCATCAAGAAATTGGACAAGTGTAATGCACCAAATCTGCTGTCAAATAACTTCATGAATTTATTCATCAAGTTCTTGACGAATTAGAGCATGTTCGTCAATTTCTTCGTGAAGTTCAGAAATACCAACCCAACAGATTTCCAGCCTCAGATCAATAATGAGGTTATGTTATTGGAATATGTAAATAATTGTATGGCGTCGTAATAATTTTCCATTGTTCTTACTGATTTGTTACTTACAAAAACTAATATTTATATAATATGTGTCAGAACGGTACCGCTGTTGTATCACTACAATTATGAGTGGAAAGGTGACATTTTTGAAATTTATTTGCTTCTTTGATTCATTGGTAGAACTGATTCATACGTCAAAAAACTTGTCAAAGTCTATAGCAGTGTAAAACCACACTGTTTACCAATAAATTCGTGAATTAATTCATGAAGAACTTCGTCAATTTATTCATGAATAAATTGTCAATGTAAAACAGCTATAAGAAATATCAAGAAAAATACCATTTCTAAAGTTAGAATTATTTCACAATTTTAAAATAACTGAATAATAATAATTGAACATAAACATTTAGTAAAATTTTATGATTTCCTAGAAGTCCCAATTTAACGCATTTTTATTAATCATCATTTGCTAAGAAGTCTCTGATAAAATTAATAGAATCATAACCGTGTTTAAGAACAAAACGAGTGAAACTTCATGTGATCATGTTAATCACTAATAACAGTATCTCTTACAACTAGTGACGCTTTTGGATGTTGATAATAACTTATTGTAATAATAGGACTAGCTATAATTTTTCAACAATTCTTTAGTGAATTCTGGATACATTTTGATTTAAAGATATAATGCCAAACTTATCTATTATAAAAATCATTAAACATGATTTAGAATGGTCTTGATTCTCTTAAAATTATTTATTGACTAAATTTGCCGAGTTATTACAATAAAAAATTGGACTGAGTAATATAATTGTTACAATTTTCACTAAATTCATGAATTTGTTCATAATTTAATTCGTGAATTTCTTAGGATAGGAACATGAATAAATATAACATGAAAATACTACCTTGAAGATATCCCACTGTACATCCTAGGGACATGGTTTAGACCTTCGAGCATATACTACTGGAAAAGTGTGGCTGAGTATGCGGGACAGACAAGACAGATCTCAGTACTTGCTATCTCATTCTTCGCTTCAACGACGGGAGCCCTGTAGGAACCAATGAGCGAGAGCATTCATTTCCAACCAATCGCGTGCGTGCTAGAGTGAGACAGCATTAACTGAGATACTGTCTTTCTCTCTCGCACACTCAGCCACACTTTTCGCAATGGCATGTTACCTCCAGTAGTATATGCTCGAAGGTTTAGACTAGGATATCCAAATATTATGGCAGATATAGAGATCATCCTTCATACATTTGAGATTTGAGGGATATCTTATGTTACAAATCAGGACTTGCTCCAGATATCCTACCTCTGGGAAGTGTGGCTTAGAATATTTGGTATCCTAAGCACCGTATGTCCCAGGGATATGTGTCTTAGACTATATGCTTTCCTCAGGACAGTCTGAATATTATGGCAGGTATAGGGTACATTCAGATAACTGAGGATATATTGTTACGAATCAGGATATCTATCTGGATATCTTAGATATATTTTTTCATTTTTTACCATTCGGTACAAGTTGAACAATAAAATTGTCGAGTCACAAAATTTTCACAGCAATAAAAGTTTTTATATCCGAAATTTATAGGTTCTTGAAAATAATATTAAGCATTTATATTGAGCAATAATAATGCTTATTTATTTACAAAGGCATACCATATTAGTTTACTTTAAACAATCAGAGTATCAAAGTGTTAGTGGGAATTAAATTTTTCTTACAAATTAACAAAAATTATTATCTATAAAATAGACATAGTTTAGAATCTGGCTACATGATTGTTAACAAGCACGAATTCGCCATGAATGTGTATCGAATGTTTCTAAATCCCACTTGAACTATCCAACTCTAACTATACCAATGATTATATAGCTTTTTTGTAGTGTAAATAAAGGTGATCGAAAAACATTCTTCGAACCTTGCCTCTTATCGCTGTTCAAACACAGCCGTGTAGGAAATCAATTAAAACGTACTTAAAAGAAATATTTGTTCTAATTAATTTGCGACAAATGTAGTTGTTGTGTGAATTTCAAAGCCGAAATACGTGCCTCTCTGAGTCAGGCCGATCAAGGGATTTGAGGTAATTACACTCTATAACATTTGGAGGGGCTTAGGACAGATTAATTAATATCAAATTGCTGATACTAATACTGATTCCGTTAGTGCGAGGTGCTTC